ATGGCCCGGCGGCTCCACCCCGACCAAGCCCGTCTGTGAGAGGGTGGCGGGAGCTGGTGGCACTTCGCAGGGGAGCCAGATTTGGTGACCCAGACGTGCTGCGAGCCTGGGGCTCCCCAGCCGGAGGTGTTTGCACAGGGCTCCCTCACACCCCCACTGCACACAGCCCCACCAATGTTTCCCACCAGACCCTGGACAGGGCGCGGCTGCGATCCACTGGAAAAGCCTGCACACTGCACCCTGAGGCCTGACACAGCAGACTCAGCACAGGGCTGTAGCTACGGCTGGATGTTTCTGACTGGATCCAGTGTCCTTGGTAGTGTGAGGCAGCCATTCTGTTACCTCCTGAAGCCCACACTCAGCTGGGTCATTCTCTGCCCAGCCAGGGCTTGGCCTCCTAGTGTAGCTGGCTCTCCCCCTACCTGTCTGGGCGATGGCTCCTGAGAGGCCAGCGAGGACGAGGAGCCACAGTTGCCGCTTCGCCATATTTTTTCACCTGCAGAGCAACCAGAATGCTGAGAAGGGAGGTGGGAGGCTGCTCTGCCCGAATCCTGCGCCCAGGCAATGCCAGTCTGCAGGCATGGGCACCTGATTGATCCCTGACGGGAGGCGGGAGGAGAAATGTGCTCAACCAATCCCATCCCAGGGGCAGAGTCTGGAATTCCCCTTTGGATCTGGAGCTCATTACATCACCACCCTTCAGCTGTTGTTTCCTCCTGTGCAGGGCAGATATCTGAGCACCCAGCACCACCTGTTTACAGAGACACTCCCTGTCACAGGTTGAATCACAGGGTTCTCCTTGGACCTGTCACTCGGTGTGTTGATCATGCCACTGAGCCTGGTCACCTGCCTTTGGAGGCGTCCAATCACGCTCTGCTCCTGGCCCCAATACTCTGGTCTTCCCCAGCCAAGGCACAGAGGTGGGGTAAAAACCCACTAGCAGAGCACACAACAAACCAGCTCAGATCTGGGAGTTCTCCGTTACAGAGACTAGCCCTCAAAAGGGACCCAAATCCCAAATAAATCCTTTGTATTCCATATAAATGTTTTACTCAGAGAAAGTTCATAAATTCTCTCTTTTTTATCAGTGAAAGGGAGTGATGCACAGTGGTTGTTCCCTCTCAGGGAACAATCATTAAGTATAAAAACATGGGATTAATGTAATTGCAATTGAAAGCAGACAGATCAAGGTAAGTTACTAAGGCCATGTCTATACTAACGCAGAAATTCGAAGTAATGTACACAACTCCAGCTGTGTTAATTGCATAGCTGGAGTTGAAGTACCTAAATTTAAACCGCCTGCCCCAAACCCCTCCCCTCCCAGCCTTTGGCTACAGGGCCGGAGGAGGACAAAGGAAAGTTCTACCATCCACCAGACCCACTGCTGTGGCTCCCGCAAGATCACCCCCAGAGCTGGGCAGCACAGTGCTGGCCTCCCTAAGGAGTCACCTGAAGGATCAAGCATGCTAGCCAGATGTGGGGGCCAGATAGCCCTCCCCTCTCTTTTCTTGTAACCTAACCAATTGCCGGGGGACTTTACCCCTTGTGCAGACAATCCCGGGGCTCTGGCTGCGGTGGCCAGTGGCTGAAGATCAGTTGTCCTCCCTAGGGGGAGCTGGCAGCTGGAGCCAGAGAGCCCAGCCCTGCCTCCCTGGGAGGAGCCACTGTATGGGGGAGGGGGAGGAATGGGTTCAGACAGACTGGCTGGTCAGGGGCCCAGACAATCTTACATCCAGGAACTGCCAGTTGATGGGGGCTGAGCATTGCAGCTCCAGCCCCATGGGATGAGCTGCCCCCCTTTGCACTCCAAAGTAGCTCACAACTAGAGCAGCACCATTCTCGATTCCCTGAGCTCTGCATCTCCCACCATCCTGTACTTAACCCCCCCCCCCTCCACACACACACACCTCTCAGCCCCATGCACTGACTGCTGCACTCCCATCCACTGCCCTCAGACATCACAAGGACCTAGGCAATGCAAGGGAAATCCTCTAGTAACTAATCATTGCTAAAAACAAATTAACAATATATACTTACCAATCTGTGCTTACTGCTCTTTACAAGTGTCTGCCTCGTCCTCTCCTTGCTTCCTCCACAGCAGGATGCTTCTCGGGGACTGTGTTTGTCAGATGAAGTGATTTTTTTGAAGGATCTGCTTGTTTTTCAGCAACTTGTCATGAAAACGCAGCACAGTCTCTAGGGCAAAATTCACTCTCGCAAACAAAATAGCCTTCACAGGGAAAAGCATGGACACACGATTTTTCAAGTAACCAAAATGTATTAATTACTTTAAAGACACATTAAACACAGGCTGTGGGGTCTGGCAAAATCAAACTCAACAGCCTTTGCCAGATCTGAGGATTCCACTGCCTTGTTGTCCATCTTTGGAAAAATGTTCCACCCCCTTTCAGAAATGGGGGTTTTCTGAATCTTCCAGTCAGACGTGACAGGATATTGTTGGTTTTCCATCTGACCATTCATCAAAAAGATGATTTTCATCTATCAGACATAAAGTGGGAATTCTTGTGTGGCAAAGGCAAGACTGCTTTGTATAATACCCCACACCAGCATGCTTCTCAACAAGGCCCACTCAAGCATTTCTGTGCACTCAAAGGCAGCTTTCCAGGGTTCCAACTGCTTCAGAGATGTTGAATAACAATTCTCGACTGCCTTGTAAAATTCCTGTTCTTTAATTTCCCCACCCTCGACCAAAGACAGCAGCAGGGTCTCGATGTGTGATATGGCTAATCTTCCTCTGAGCCTCATGCTAAATTATTTTGAAGGTATGGATATGTAGTGCAACTTCTCCCACCGATGAGTGGTTTTTCTTGATTGCCTTTTCCATCTTTGGAAAGGTGGCTGTTTGCTTACTAGCAAAAGCAAGCCCCAGTTTTGTGCAAAGGTCACTGAAAACTTTCTTGAATACTGTTGAGCATATGCCTTGAGTGAGAAAATATGCCTTGTGCTCATCAAAAATCAACAAAATTCTCTCTAGCCCTGGTCCCCGAGAAGGGAATTGTGAGCTGCCATTCACTAGCGATTTAAAATATTCGAGGTCAACAAATTGGCAGAATTCTTTCAATTCTTCAACAGGAACAGTGTAAAATATTTATAAACTTTCACAGGAAAGGACTCCAAATCAAATGGAACGCAGTCAGCGGCTGTTCGCAAGCAGTTACGAATGATGTGAATACCACAAACAAAGTCAAGGATCTTCCCCTAGTCTGACTTGCAGTTTTCGCCAGACGTAATGTTGTTTTCCCAGCCCACTTAGCACCACCAGTATGTGTATTAGCCCAACAAGCTTTTCACTAAAGGTACGTCTACACTGCAGGGCTGAAGTCGAATTAAGCTACGCAACTTCAGCTATCTCAATTGCGTAGCTGAAGTTGAATTAGCTTAATTCAGCTTTTGGCGCTGTCTACACAGCAGGAAGTCCAAGGAAGAACACTCTTCCTTCAACTTCCCTTACTCCTCGTGAAATGAGGGTTACTTGGAGTCGTAGTAAGAAGTCCTCCAGCTCGACATTATTTTGAAATAAAGGTGTGTAGTACCCATGTGCACTATGTTATGTCATTATGTCAGAATCGTGTCAATTATTCCAAAATAATGCTGCAGAGTAGACGTACCCTAAGAGAAGGCTTCTCAATCACTTGATATAGAAATCCGCACTGCGCATCAGAAGTTTCCCATGGCAGAGAAGAAAACTCATTAACGTTTGGGTTCACCCCATCGGACGGAGCAGCTTGGGACTGTGTGTGGCCAAGGGGTAGCTCAAGGGACAGGGAGGGGGGAGCTAGGGGCTGTGTTTGCCAGGGGAAACTAGGGGCTGTGTGCAGACAAGAAGATACCTCAGGGTTCAGAGAAGGGGTATCTAGCAGCTGTTTTCCAGGAGAACTTTCCCTGGGAGAAGGGAATCTCCCAGCTCACTGAGCAGCCCCTAACCACCCCGAGAGTTACCAAAGGTGGGGGTGGGGAGGAAACTCTCAGTCAGCAGGTTTATTAGTCGACAGTCACACAGCATAAAACAGACGTGTCAGCACAGAAATCACAAGCAGCCAGCACCATCCTGCTTGTGGAGAGGGCCCCAGAGCTAGGGCCTGGCTCCCTTTCTGCACCCTAAGCTAGCCCAGACTGACCCAGCTCCTGGTCCTACTCCTCCTCCCCTAGCCAGGCCCCTCCTCCGGCCTTTGTCCTGTTTCCCAGGCAAAAAGTGTCACCTGACTGCACTCCCTCCAGGTAATGAAGGGAATCAGCCATTGTGTACATGGGGGAGGTTGTCACATCGAAATCCCCATGCCCAGCGAGGTATTGGTGCAGTGCTCAGGGAAACTGAGGCACACTCACACAGGGTTACTATGTTTCCCAGGCAAAAAGTGTCACCTGACTGCACTCCCTCCAGGTAATGAAGGGAATCAGCCATTGTGTACATGGGGGAGGTTGTCACATCGAAATCCCCATGCCCAGCGAGGTATTGGTGCAGTGCTCAGGGAAACTGAGGCACACTCACACAGGGTTACTATGGGACAGTAGCACTCACATGCCACATAACAAGGCAAATCAAATCCCCACTTTGTCACAACAAGCACCTGTCAATTGGCAGGGGCCAGAGCACGAGGGCATCTGTGCTGGCTTGGGCAGAGCCCACTTTCCCTGTTTACAGCTGGCCCCTGTTCTCTAGGTGTACCTGCCCAGTGCAGGGCGAGAGCTGCCCCATAACTGGCTGCCACATTTTCCAGTCTTCCCATTCAGTTCAGCCTGGACAAAATGCTGCTTTCTTTCCCCACATAAGAACGGCCACACTGGGTCAGACCAAAGTTCCCTCTAGCCCAGTATCCTGTCTACCGACAGTGGACAATACCAGGTGTCCCAGAGAGAATGAACAGATCAGAGATTCATCAAGTGATCCCTCCCCGTCATCCATTCCCAGCCTCTGACAGAGGCAAGGGACACCACTCCTGCCCCTCCTGGCTAATAGCCATTGATGGACCTATCCGCCATGAATTTATCTAGCTCTTTTTTGACCCCTGTTAAAATCCTGGTCTTCACAACATCCTCTGGCAGTGAGTTCCACAAGTTGACTGTGCATTGTGTGAAGAAATACTTCCTTGGGTTTGTTTTAAACCTGCTGCCTATTAATTTCATTTGGTGAGTCCTTGTTCTTTTGTTATAGGAACAAGCAAATAACTTTTCCTTATTCGCTTTCTCTACACCTGTCATTGTTTTATAGACCTCTGTCATATCCCTCTTTAGTCTCCTTTTTTCTAAGCTGAAAAGTCCCAGTCTTTTTAATCTCTTCATATGGCAGATGTTCCAAACCCGTAGTCATTTTTGTTGCCACCTTTTCTGAACTTTTTCCAATGCTAATTTATCTTTTTCTGAGCTGAGGCGACCACATCTGTACGCAGTAGTCAAAAGGTGGGAGAACCATGGATGTATGCAGAGGCAGCAAGATATTCTCTGTCTTATTCTCTGTCCCTTGTTTAATGGTTCCCTGTGCTCTGTTTGCTTCTTTGATGGCTGCTGCTGCACATGGAATGCATTTCCCTGTCCCGTGCCCTGTCCTTAGTGCCAGGGGGCCTCTGAGCCAGGAGGTGCCAGCAGACCCAGCTCTGGAGAACTCTCTCCATCCTGCCCACCCAAAGCTTCCTTACTGCATGTGAGTGGGGTGCCTCAGCCCTCAGAGAGGCGTGGACTGAGAACTGCTGCACTAGGATGGGGTGGGAAATCCATGTAATTCAAGGGGCAGAAGCCAGTTTCTCCGGAGCTGAAGATCTGGTGCTCTCTGCTCCCCAGGGCCTGGCACACCCTTGCAGTAGCTGGCCATGCACATATGAGGCATGGGGGGAGCTTCCCTCTCTCTAATGGTACCCTGATATCAGCCCACTGTGAGCAGTGACCATCACAGCCCTTCTCTGCTGCAGCCCCTTGTCTGGCCTGCTGGGCTCGTGGCAGAGTGGTCAGGGCTGTAGCTGTGTGTGTGTCCCTGCTGTCCCCCTAGAGCCTCACAATGACAGGGGGCTGGTTGACCTCTTCCCCCCAAGGCGTATGCCTTGTCTGGGTGGCCAGTTGGTAAGGCGACACCCCTAACCCTCCCATATAGTGAGGTCATAATTAATTCTCTGTCCGCGGCCTCCCATGGCAGCGGATTGTGACGTCCCGGCCTGGGAGCTGTGACCTGGAGGGGTGGAGAGGCAGCTTGCTGGTGGAGGGCCGGCTTCTGTTCATCCCCAGGTCCCCAGACCACATGCCCTGGGGGGAACCTGAGCTTAGGGAAGGTTGTGACCGGAGGGAAGGCTGTGGGAAGGGCAGGGCTCGGCCAGGAGTCATTCCACAAACAGTCACTAAGCTCAGCGGAGCTGCCTGACTCAGTTGGGGGGGGAGATGCCGGAAAGCTGCTTACCCGCTGTATTATTTACTCTTAACTCCTCTAACTGGAGCTCTGTCCTTAATAGTCGCCTAGGCTCAGGGAGATGGGCAGGGAGGTGACGAGGGGACGGCCAGGCAGGGGCAGCCGCCCCCCGCCCCCAGGACACCGCACAGCCATTCACAGCCCGGGGGGATGGGGGCATTCAGCCCTGGGGATAGGGGGTACGTACAGCCCTAGTGGGGCACTCCCACCCCTGGAACATGGAGCACGCCCAGCTCCCAGGGATGGGGCCATGCCAGGGTCTCCCAGCGCCAGCGGATGCCTGGAGATCCGACAGGAGGTGATCCTGGCCCCAGGAGGAAAGCACAGCTGATAATGGTCCTGTGCTGCTTTGGTGCTGAGGTCCATGTGGGGCGAGTCTCAGGGGCTGTCTGAGGCCACCATGTGGGAGCCTGCTTTTGGGGGGCCTTACAGAGCACTCAGCAGAAATGGGAAGTGCCCACATCTGGTCAGAAACCACAAGCCCTCAGCTGCCTGAGCTCACTGCCTCCCCGCCGCTGCTGCTTGGCACATGCCAGGCTCCGGCTGATATTCTCGGGAGAGGGTGTGATTTTTGGGGGTGGGGTGAAGGAAACCAGCTGTCCCCAAATCCCTGCATCTCGCCTCTCCTGCCAGCCCCTGCTCCAGTCACCAGGCCACCCTGGCACCTTCTGCCTGGGCTCACCAGGCCCCTGTGGCCCAACAGCGGGTGCTGCTCCAGAACCCCTGCAAGGCCCATCCTGCCTAGTGCCTGGCATGTCTTGCATAACCAGACACATTGCTATCTCCCCTCTCCGCTCCTGGCAGGAAAATGGGC